ATGCATCTTGAAAAATGCATTAAAAATAGCAAAATTATCAATCTATTTGTTTTCTTGTGATAAAACTATTGTATTAGTTTCGTTTACCTATATAAGCCAATTTCAATGTATTGCATCAAAAGTTTTTCATTAATATCTCGGAATATCTTAAATGCCCGCAGTTAAAATTTTATATTTGACATTCCACTTCCTTTTTCCCTCGCCAAATTTAATGCCGATCAGCCACCAATACTTTTTGAAAAAATAGTCGAATACTTGAATTTATTGTGCGAACAAAAATGCATGGTCATTCAAAGATTTCAGCAAACGTGACTAAATGTCCTTTTTGAATGACTAAAGACTGTGTTTAGAATTAATAAAACACATGCGAAGGAATATGTATAGCGTGTAGAAGAAGCGTCCATAGGGGAATCTGAGGAGAATTTTCTGGCAATGAGCGAGAATAGTAGGGTCAATTGCCCTAATATGGAGTGCTTTTTTTATACACATATTTCACTTGCTTGAAGAACCTTTGTAAACACTTAAATATTATGAATTTATAGCAAATTTTATGCTCTTTTGATTGGTAACAGTCAAATTTAAAATGTATTAACGGTTTAGGAACTGTTTATTTTTTTTATCGAGGTTCTCATTTTCCATATTATGCTCATAGTGCTCGTAATATGGAATACTATATTTATATAAATTTATATAAATATATTTATATTTGAAGAAATAATCGAGCTAACACAAAGCTGATGCACTTACCTTATGATGTATAATATTAGGTCAAAAACCACCTTGAAAAACTGAGATTGCGATATTTTCTTCAACATTCGTTTACAAACACGTGTTGCTTTAGAGTTCGGACATAGGCATGCTAGTTGCAAGAAATGACAATCGTAATCGATTGCATTCATCGCCAATAGATGGCAAAACACAATTTTTTAATATTGCGGTGCACCACATTAGGAACGTATTTCATATTAGAGCAACTGACCTTACTCATAGAAATAATTACATATGATAAATATCATTACATTTATCTTTTTAACAGTTGGTTAATTTTAATTTTTTCGCATGGATTTTATCAAAATAAACCTTACCATTTTATATTTTTATATTATTCTTTTAACTAAAATCGTACTAAAAGCAATTTTTACATCCTGGCCTTCTCATTATCAATTTGAAATAAAAGGAATCGATTCTAGAAACCAAATTCGTGTTATTGTTTTGTTAAAACATAATTAGCAGTACCGAACTTTCTACGTTTCATCGAAGCATCACTGTATTAACTTAAGGAAATGAATTGATAACACAATGACGTCGAGGCGTTTCGAGCCGATTCTGACGCACGCGCAGGTGCCGCGGCGCCTGGGCGTTTAGAACATTTCGCCCATATATTTCAATTTCAACAAAATTGGTATACTTTTTTAACCAATTGATATTGTCCAAAACAATTTTGAGAAATATGATAGATTACTTTTTTTCATAATAATGTACACATTCTAACATGCAATTATCAATAGTTCTAAATTTTTTAATTTATCAAGTTAAACATTTAGCATTTCACTTATCGTATCATATTATTGATATTAGTATTTTTGTTTGTGTGATATGCTTCGAAGCAATTGCCAAGACGTAGGGTAACCTCACAGGATTTACGCATGTAAGAAGTTTCTCGATATATTTTGTAAGGATACAAACACGATACCAAATAACACTTCAAATTAAAAATTTTTACTGATTTCGGACAAGTTTTCCCAATAGATCAAAGTTGAGAGTTTAGAAATTGATAGATAATTTATTGTTGATGTGTCTTTAATGTCAGAAACTGATGTATGAGAATTCCTTGCAAAATTTCATTTTTGATTCTGGATTAACGTTTTGAAAAATGCAGAATTAGTTAAATAAAGCGAAGAATGTAAAAAAACACTTTTACACATCATTTAAGAATTTGACTAAAAGTAGGAACTTGTTTCTTATCCATCTAACGTTAAACACAGCTACAGTGTCAATAATTACATAATAAAACAAATTGGAAATGTATTTTTCAGTACTCTAACTCGTAAATCATCTGTTATGACTAGACTGCGGATGTTTATATTAATAAAATATGTCAAATATGTATCAATAATATGCCAAAATATACAGGAATATGCAAAATATATTCAAAATACTTTCAAATAATTTTTGACTTAAACATAATAATAATTAAATATGACTTAAATTACAATATGTTACGAGCATTTTTTCAATATTATTAAGAGTTAGTTGATGACATTTATCGCTTAAAGTCAATTTATAAGCTGAGAACGAACGTTCAACATTACAAGATGTGATTGGGCATATTTAAATCTGCTGAAGTAGCATGCTTTAATTGGTTTAGGCTCTTTAACAGTCTGATCTCATAAAATTCGTTTCCGTAGAACCTATCCGCCAAGAATACTCTAGAATTACTGATTAATACTATTCGTACCATCTATGAACTGTTATCATTAATGATTCCCTATAGGTAGACTGAAATAAATGTTCGGAAGCCCATATAAGCATTAATTTTATGAAAAGAAATGCAATAAACATATATGACATATGCAATATGTTTCAACATATGTTTTTATATAAAATATGCAAAACGTATGCCATATGCAAAATAAAAAATATATTTTTGAGGACATCTAGCGATGAAACAAACTAATAACTTCTATCTAGGTTTTACTCTTTCATTTATATCCTAGAAACATGCATTTGCATAAACATTTGCAGTCTAGTTATGACATCTTTAAAGAGAAATTAAAGAATTAATAGCATTTTCTCAATTCATTTTTAAACAGTAGAATGAAAAATCTGTCGCCACATACATGTATGCATTATTCGTATCATGCTAAAGAATCTGAATAACGCAAATGCGCGCTATTCAGTGTCAACGTGTTCATACGTATACAGAATGGTTCTAGAGGATTTAAAATGGTGTTACATGGTCTTACGAAACCAAAATTAATCGGTTTAAGGAGGGATTCTCGTGTAACAGCGTTAAAATTAAAGTTTCCTTTTTAATTTTTTTCGTAAAAAATTAAAAGTGCTATTGTATTAGACTTTTAAGAACATGAAGAGAGATCCTCAAACAATACGAAAATATTTTTTTAGTCTTTTAATAAGTAGTTTGGTCTTTTAATTCTATCCGACGATATAACCATAGTAGATGTATGTACAGCATAGCATCATAAAGATCAGAACGCAACAAACGAAAATTTTTCTTAAAGCTGGCTGATTTCCACTGGTACGAACCTATTTTAAACAAAATATGAAATATTTAAAAAAACTATTGCATTTTGAAAAAAAATTTTTTTTTTATATACAAATTCAGCTTAAGATGTTTTCTAAAAATTGTATAAATGGAAAATGAAATCAAATTTTACAATCAGTACAAGGAGAAAGATATAGCAAAAACAATGGACCAAGTTTGAAATCGATTGATGAATTATTTTTTGAGTTATCGTGTACATCAATTCGAAAAGTATGTTTTCGAGAAAAACGCGTTCGAAGCTTTTACTGACGTTTTATAATACTTACAGTTTAAAAGTCGATATACAACTTTAATCTGCTATTCCGGGACCATACAATAAACCCTCTTCTTCTTCGAACAATTCCTGCTGTAATGTTCTCTTCATTTTGATAACTGTACGAGTTTCTTTTGTCCTTTGTAAACTGCGGAACTCTGCTTTATTCAAGCGCATCTCGTCACGAGAGTCAGTGAATCTTTTGCAGTGTTTTCCTATTGTAATGTCTAATGCTTCCGTAGTTTTCAATGTAGAAGAGAAGCCTTCGTTAAATATTGCACCGGCTAGGCAAGTAGCAGTTTCAATTGTTTTTTAGCCACAGTTCACATGTTTTGGAGCCAAACGCAAGATAATTGAATTCAAACTTTCGTTTGCATTTTGAGTTGCAACTATTGGAAATGGGTGAAAAAGCAGTACCCTTTTACACTTTAAAAGTGAAACTTTATTGTACGGTTCGGAAGGACATATGTTAAATCTGAACGAGAAGTGAAGTGACGCCTAGATCCCCGAAAGGAAAATCTGGCGTCCACTTAAAGAAGGAAAGAAACCATTGCCTGCACCATGTTTATTTCCCTGGCCCTTGACGACAAAACAATCCCAGGCCCTTAGCCAATACGGTCTTTATATGCAGACAATGGGCAGTGTTTCTGACTGTTAGATTCAGTTTTGTAAATGATTATTTATTAATAATCGAACTGCAACCAATCTTATTTTTTTAAAGTTATCTTCGAAGAAACGGTTTAGTGTAGATATGTTTGCTTTATCGTGTTCAGAACATGCTGTGCGTTATAAACAGAGATAGTAACTCGTTATTTTTTAAAATACGAATATAAACAATTTAGGGCATATTTTTGAAATATAATACTTCTAATTTATGCAATAAAAATAATCGATTTTTTTGACCTGTTACACGAGAATCCACCCTTAAGTTAGGTAAAAAGTTCAAATATTACAGCCAATTAGGGAAAATAATTCATCTATCTGATATTAAATAGACAATGAAGTTTCAGGAAATTTCATCTTCTGCTGAATTGCTTTGTACATAAGAGAGTTGAATTAAGAATCTTATGCATAAGGAATAATATCTAAATATTTTAGACTGGTTCACAATTAATCGTACAAAATATTGGTTATAACGAGGAAGAAGTCGTATTTCAACGAGATAATGATGTTAAATATAGCTAAATTAGTAAAAACAACTGGTAGCATTACTACGAGCGCACTACGAGGACACTCGTAGCATTAAGACGCAATGATTGGACTGCTCTACAAGTGTTTACCTTGAGTCTATTGTTCAGTTTACTACACCGTTTGGTACGCTGTGGTTATCTAAGCTTCGCTCTATTCCAAATCTTCCCGACTTATTCAGGAAGAGCATTTTAATTTATTTCCTACACAAAAGAGAATTGTTCCTGAGTACAGGAATATATCTCGTTTAATAATGAAATGAAATATTTAACAACAACAAATAATTGCTTCTACTGTATCGACTTACGCCAATGTTATGCTTAATGAAAAGTTTCCCACGAAAGATCAAACTGTAATTATGGATGTCACGAATGATTCGTCTATAAAAGAATACATTGTACATCTATGCTGTCAGTAAAGTCATAAATCCGATTAACTTCTGATTTGCCTCCAGAATCTTTAATAACGGAGTTTGTTTATTCTTATCGGACAAGATACCCGTAACCAAGCCATCAAACAATATGATAAATATTAATATTAACGATAACACGATTACTAACCGTCCACTTCTCACGAAGTCTAAATGTATAACATTATCGAATGTATGCTCTATTATTCCGTGTTGCTTTATTTATAAATATTTGAACAGAAACATTTAATAAAAACATATACATATTTAGTAAACTAAAAAAGCTTAACACTCATTTATTTTTTTGCACTGTTACTCTTTGGTTTGGAGTTGTCTCTCGATATTCAATTGTCCTTGATCGCTCTCGCTCAAATTCCCACTTTCTTTCATTCACTTATCATTCCCAGTTTTAAAACAACAAATCACCACTCAACGCACCACCGATGTCATGCATAAGAAATTATCCACTAATATGCCGTGTACAATTTTGGAAGATGCTTTGTAGAAATTTTGAAAGGGCCTGGCGGGATATGCATATGAAAAATGCCCCCAAACGGATTAGTTTGATTTTTGGCTAGATATTACTTCTAGATATGTATATAACTTTCCTTAATTTTGAACCCGAAATATGCATTAATTTTTAAGTTATTTAACGATAAAGAATTTTACAAAATATTTTTTAATTGAAAAACTATCTGTTCAAAAATTCTGAAAAAAATATATGTTGTACATACATCTGCCGCCCATCTAAAAAAAAATTGTTTTCTTTAATTTGTTTATTGCAAATGTTATAAAAAAGGTAATATTTATTTTAATCATTTTTTTAAGTGCTTTATCGTTTTGGTACCACAAACATATTTTGTACATATATGTATTAGACATTTCTGTGTAAGATATATTTTTTTCAAGTCGATTGTTGTAGTAGAAGGTATTCAAATATACTAAAAATGGGTGTAGCACGCGGAGCGCAAGGAGGCTGCCATAGTCGCGCGGCGCGGCGTAACTCAAACTCGATCGCTACACTAGCAATTAATGAAGATATTAAGCAGAATAATAATTGTACGAATGGTAGTAAGAAGCAGTAGCACACGTAGTAAAATTAATTGTTGCAAGCAATAATTTTATTATTTATTAGTACAAAATACTTAATCGTCAATATCACTATTTTCATTTATTATTGGATGTATTTCATTTTTAGTAAATAAATTCGTCAAAATTTCAGCTGGTTTGAGAATTTTTGATAAATATCTGCCATGAGCTAAATAATAAATTAATGCAGCTACATGCGAACAGCAACCAACTGTTCTTTTGCCACTTGCACATTCGCAAGCATATCGTGTCACTCCTGAATGTCCTATAGTATTTGGCAAATATTCTATATAACAGCGATATGTTTTTTTGTTTATATGTCGAGATTTTACAGATAATTTTAAAATATTACTTCTTTCTTTGACATATTTTGCAGTAATTGAACCATCCGCGTTCAATATTTCTGCCAAATACGAGATAGCTTGGGAGAATTGGTATGAGCCTGTGAATAAAATATGTAAATCATTTTCCGTCATTTCCGGAAAATCGAAAATATCTGAAGTAGATATATCGCTAAATATTAATTTTTTTCTGCTCCATCCGTGCTTTTCTATTTCTTCCGACAATGAGTTTTCTTGATTCTTTTTTTCTTTCATTTGGGCAATAATATCCAATCGTCCCGCATCGGAGTTTAAACGTTTGCCATAACGATTTTGTAAAAATGATGCAATTTTACAATAAATCCCAATTTTAGGTAACATTTTATTGTCTAATTTTCTGTCCAGAAGGCGATATTTTTGTTTAAGTATTCCATGGATGGCTTCAACCACCCATCGTAGTTTTGTTACAAATCGTGAATCATTTGATTCAGTAGTTGACAACTGAGGTCGTTTCCCTTTTAAAGCTGGCATTAGTACACCATAACCTTGTTCAGTTAACATATTTTTAACGTCTCTGAAACCACGGTCGAGTATAAAAATATCCCCCTTTTTCATTAAATTACATAATCCATTTGATTCGGTCATTATTTCTTTCATTATTGACACATCATTTTGAGTAGCGTAATATGGGCCTAGAATGTCTACAATATAACCATCTGTTGTACATATGGTAAATGGTTTACACAGAGGCACTTTTTTTGTCCAGAAAATGACTTTCGTTGATACTCGTTATTAGAACTTTTTTGGTGTCGTATGTAAGTGCCATCACAAATTAATAGTAATTTGTTATCAATGTCGTACAACGATTTAGCTACATTACTAGTGTGATTATTAATTAGATATTCCCTAGTCGCAGATTTTAAACCAAACTTTAAGGGAAGAACATCTTTATCAAACGCATTCATGACTGCATTTGAATAATCTGAAACTAATTGTTTATGTTCTAACTGAAAAATAGAAGCAATTGTTTCATTTGCGTTACCACTTCGTAATTTAAATAAAAAAATAATAATAGCCTGTGTAACATTTCGAGATGCTGAATTCTTCATTGATATTAACATTGTCTTCAATTCTATAATATTCTCCCACGTTAAGCCAGTAAATATGAATAATTGTTCTTCTGGCATATTAAAATCACCAATTTTGTCAAACAATGTTGAATCACAAGTAATTGCTAAACTATTTAATAATTGTTGTAATTCTACAGGCTCAATGGAACTAAAATGTGAATAAATGGATATATGTTTCAATTCGTCATTATACAATTTATTTTTAATTAAATGTTTTCGACAACATCGATTCCCTTTAGGAACATAGATTTTTATCTTAATATATATTTGTAATCTTGCTTCAAACGGAATAACATGAATATTTTTTGTATCATTACAAATAAAACAATATTTGTGTGTTGCAACAGTTCTTTTTATGGGGACTTCAATCTTTATAACGTCATCTTTAGCTGATTCCATAAGTGAAATATTAAAATCTGGATCATCAAATGAAGATGAGACTGAGCTTTCCACAATCACATCATTTTCATTATTATTATCACAAGCACTGTCGGTTTTCTTATTTTTATATGCTTTTATTCGGCAATTGTTGCATAAAACATCATGTAACACAATTTGAGATTTTAGATATTGCGTCAAGAATTCCGCCATTTTTTGGGATGTCACGATCGTTTTGCGCGGCGATACTTTGATGACATATTTATTGCAGGAAGCACATTTCTCAGCGTTTGACATATTTCTAACAAGATATAACAAGATTATATATAACTAATAAAAATAAACGTACAGCTCAATAGCATCTACTACGTATCAAATAGCTTTCACTTTTGTTTGGGCAAACAAATGCAAGAATGGAAGGCTGTTGTCTATTGTTTAATGTACGATATCCGCAGCCAGTGTTGGCGTAATGCGCATACGATCATAGCGCAACTTGAGATTCATAACATTGCATATTATTATTCTGCTTAATATCATAATTAATTGCTATGTAGCGATCGAGTCTGAGTTACGCCGCGCCGCGCGACTATGCAGCCTCCTTGCGCTCCGCGTGCTACACCCATTTTTAGTATATTTGAATACATTCTACTACAACAATCGACTTGAAAAAAATATATGTTACACAGAAATGTCTAATACATATATGTACAAAATATGTTTGTGGTACCAAAACGATAAAGCACTTAAAAAAATGATTAAAATAAATATTACCTTTTTTATAACATTTGCAATAAACAAATTAAAGAAAACAATTTTTTTTTAGATGGGCGGCAGATGTATGTACAACATATATTTTTTTCAGAATTTTTGGACAGGTAGTTTTTCAATTAAAAAATATTTTGTAAAATTCTTTATCGTTAAATAACTTAAAAATTAATGCATATTTCGGGTTCAAAATTAAGGAAAGTTATATACATATCTAGAAGTAATATCTAGCTAAAAATCAAACTAATCTGTTTGGGGGCATTTTTCATATGCATATCCCGCCAGGCCCTTTGGATGTTATATCTGTTACGAGCGGGAGCGCGAGATCCTGGATTCGGTCGAGGGGCAGTACTCGACCGGTGGTTTTGGGTATGGTTAGGAAAAGAAAGGAGGTCCGGACGAACCAGGGGCTCTATACCCTGGGAGCCGTAGGTGGAGGTTACGTGGACGAACCAGGGGCTCTATACCCTGGGAGCCACGGGGTTAGATTTATAGGGAAAATGAATGGTTTCACGGACGAACCAGGGGCTCTATACCCTGGGAGCCGCTAGTAGGAGTGGACGAACCAGGGGCTTTATACCCTGGGAGCCACGTAGGGTTTTAGGATGTTTTAGGATCTTGCTCTCTGTCGTGATGGTACACCTCGAGCGGTAAAGGTGTACCGGGTTCGTGAGATACCCCTAGCCTTACGGTTAATATGGTTCAGGGTTGCCTTGAGTGAATAACACACGTAAGGAACAATAACTTGAATATATATTTTTGACGATGCTCAAGTACAGCTATGGGTTTACAAGAAGTTGTACAATTGCTAAATTGCCTCGAAGGCGAAAGATTCGTTATCGGCTTTTAACGCGGCGCGTTCGCGGGAGCTCTACTCGATTAATGGACACTCACTGATAAACCGCTAAGGTAGATAGTCGTAGATAGTTGCTTGAAGGGGATTATAGCCCGATCTTGCCCTGAGTGTCACAGTAACGTCGTGCCAAGAGTTTAGGTAAAACTGAGCTCCCCGAGTAAGAAACCGCGGCCCTTATATAGTTGAAAATGCCCAGTACTAAGGCGGGGCATTACCATAAAAGGCAATGAAAATTGGGCCGGGTGTGCGCATACGGCATGAGTCAACCCCGTTCAAAGGGTTGCTCGCTAGATGCTCGAGCCAACGCCCAAGTCACCAAACGTTTCAGCCCCATGCATGAATGATATGTAACATATCCTATCTCCTTTATCAGAGTAGATCTAAACGATGATGGTTTTTCGCACTTCCAGAACTTCCAGAAACAAGTTTACATTTATCCGGATGATCTATGATATCAAGTTTCTTTTGATGGTTCCAACTATTGGATCTTTATTTCCACCGACAACTGAACCTACTTTTTGTGCAAAAAGGAGGATATCCAGCGAAGCAATGCACCATTGCGACTTCTCAACTTCCAACCTATAGAACAGCAACTTCCCCACGATGTCTCAAGAATCGATAACAAATTCTACTAACCATAGGCACGGACAACATTATTTACCCCTTAGAACGACAAGCTAAGAGTACATTTGTCAATTTAAACTCTATTCTGCAGTTACAAACTTCGGATAAAAGATTGCATTTGGTTTGTTCTTCGGTTACCTTGACTTGTACCATCCAAAATCAGCTGATCAGCCGTGGCCACATTGGGAGCGACTGAGCGGAAAAGCGGCAAAAAAGAAATCAAACCTATAGATTTATATGAAATAGGTCATACAGCGGCAGAGCGATGGCAATTTCTCGTAGCTGAGTGTTCAATTTTGTTTGTTGTTTCAGTGCGTATCCAAGCGACAAACAGTTAAGATGAGCGGCAAAAGTAATTTCAACGCCGAATGCATGATAGGAGAAGTCCAATGTAGGCCAATTTTGTGGCAGGACAATCATAAAGATTATAAAAATAAAAGCTTAACAAATAAAATATGGGATGAAGTAGGAGATAAAAGGAACTGTACACGTAAATATTTATTCTAGTCTTGCATTGTTACATAATTACATTAGCATTATATGTATTAATTTTTAAAACGGTAATTATTTACTTTAACGATTCCTCGTCAATTTCGATGATCTTGAAATATGTTGTCAAGGTCGCTGTTATGACGATTTTTTCTCTATACATATAACTGCCGCTCGGCCTTAGTTTCCGAGATTTTTCTTCAAAAAGATCGCTGCTACTACAATGAATTCTGTCTATACGTACATACGTGACTGTGGCAGCGTGTGTGTAAGCGTTGAATTGTCGATTGTTTATTGTTTCTATAGATACATCGAGGTAGTCGGCAATGGATGCGTATAACGGATGTGCATAAAAATTCGATGTGAACCTTACTTAAACCTAACTATTGTATCTAGTAATTAATATAATGGATTAGGTTTAGGTTAGATTGTATTATATCGGCCGCCACGAGGCGGCCGGCCACGCATTCATCTTCTATTTCAATTTTCTTTATTAATATTATTCGATATTAGCTTGATACAGTATACATTATTTGTCGTTGGTCGTCATGATTTTAATACAAGAATACCTGCATTTTTTTATATAATGGCAGACATTTTTCCAATTTCTGTTAATAATAACGACAATAATAATAATAATAATAAGGAATAAAGTTTAATATTTTATCTCCAGCTCAACCCGAGGCTAATTCAGACATAAAATTATTTTTGCAAATATCTCGAAAACGAAGTGCAAGCGGCGGTAACATGTATAAAGAAAAAATCTTCATAACAGTGACCTTGAAAACATATTTCGAGGTCATCGAAATTGGGGAGGAATCGCTAAAGTAAATAATTACCATATATTTTCAAATAGTTCTTCTTATATAATACTGTATGTTTACGATACAGCATTGCTTACTGTCGATTTTCCCATTCGAAAAGCAAATGCTAAAGAGCAAAAGGCTGCCCCAGTAGCTAGATATCTGTAGTACAATAAAATTGATAAAATTACTATCACTAATTAAATATGAAACATACTACTTGCAAAGGAAATGCAAATTTCTTTACTTCCAGGAGCTATTGCAAAAATGAAGTGGAAAAATTTAAAAGATACGTACAGAAAAAATACATATGTATAAGCTGCCACAATTTAAATCTGGAAGTAAAGCAACCACATCAAAAATAAAATGGTCTCATTTTTAAACGATGGAATTTATTAAAGACTTCGTTATTCCAAAGAAAACACAAGGAAAAGAGGATAATGGTATCACTACTAATGATTACGAAGAAAAAATAGAAATGACAATAATACACAACCCATAGACACACATTCTGACACAGATTTCCAATTTACCAAGTACTTCAAATTTTCAAAACCTAATGAAGACTCAATATAAAATGAAACAGAAAAACGACACAATCTAGAAGAAAAATTTTTAGAACTTGAAGAACAAAGATTACAATTATTAAAAACAGAAGTATCCAACATTCTGTAATTTGTATCCACATTCCAGTAGTTTTAGAAAATTCAAATGTAGCATCAAATGAAGACAATAATCAAATAATAAACTTTTCTAAAATGTAAAGTTTACTTGTTTTCTCTGTTTCTTTCTTACTTGTTTTTTATTTTTCTCTTCAGTTTTCATTTTTTCTTAAGTTTCTTATTTAAACAAGGCAACTTTAATGCGAAACAAGTGTATCAATGAACAATCAGACCAAGTATCAGGTAAATCCGACCACGAACAATATATGTCCCATACAAATATTGCAATCCCTTTTCACCCCTTCAGAGGTTGAATTTTTAAAAATGCCGAAATAGGTGTTTGGTTAATTATATCAAAGAGCATTAAGACCAAGTTTGAAGCAAATCCGACCAGAAATAAAGTATTCCTCGTACAAACGTTGTAACCCCTTTCCACCCCCTTAGGGGTTGAATTTCAGAATATCCTTTCTTAATTCTTGTATACATCATAAAGGAAACCTTCAGCTTTTTATGTCCAAGGGCTTAGCCTGGGCGTTGATGAGTCAGTGAGTCAGGCCTTTCATTTTACATGTATAATAATATAATATAAATATAGAAGATAGATAGATAGATAGTATAGATAAGTAATAATTATTATTGCCAATTTTGTACATTATGAAATTATTTTTTGACAGCACATAAGGGATAAATATGACACACTTAATGCTTATATTACTTATTTTTAATATAAAATGTTTTGAATATCATTAAGGTTAAAGGTTGATTATATTACATATAAGTACCTTAAAGTGACTACCAATCGTTCTTCCGAAGTAATCGGTCATTTCCAAGTTGTCTGTTTCTCAATTCTGTCTCTGATTTTTTCTAACAGAGCATCGAATGTTTCTATCGACATCACGTAGATATTGAAAAATTCTGTCTGGAAAATTTCGTAAATGACGATACAAATGGTGAAATTCAGCATAAAAGGAACGCATCGATTATCAACAATCGAAAAATCAGACAAATACCAATACTAACGCTTATCACTTACCATTCAGTCGCTTACCGCTCTCAATGTGGCCACGATCTTACAGAAATGTGTGACTTTTTCCTGTT